ATATGATCAAAATACACTGTATGAAATCCTCAAAGAATTAATAAAAATATTTTTGAGAGAGTGTCTCACTATTTAGTCCTGGCTGGCCTAGAAGGCACTATGTAGACCAGGCTCATCAACTCACAGAGGCCTGCCTGGTTCTGTCTCCAAGGGCTGGCATTCAAAGTATACACCATCACACCCAGCAAATAAATTTAAATATATATGTATATTTGTAACATCAAATTCTGTGACATGGAAAATCATAGGAGTTGAACCAAAAATTGAATCTTTTCTGATAGTCCATTCTTTCCCTGGGAGATAGAGATCTGAGATGGGGAGGAAGTGCTGGTCTGCAAGGTAATGACATCCGTCACTGCTGTCCACACCACACCATGGGAAGCTGTTTATCCTGTACTGTTGATAATTCATGTTCTGCTTTTGTGTCACCTTGACAGTGCTACTGACATTAATACCCAGGAATTAGTCCATTAGACATGAGGGAAATAGTTCCCAGCTCGTACTTTATAGATATATCCCATATGCCTCTGCAGCAGGTGGAGAAGTCCCCAGTGCCAGCAGTCCTGAAGACAGCTGCATCAGTGTGTTGAGAGTCTGAGGCACCTGCATGGCAGGCAGCACAGGAGGGGACCAGGTTCCCTTGTGTCGAGCTCTGCAATGCCCACGGCTCACTGTGTGCTTCCTGGAGAAGTGAGAGTGCAGACACAACAGAGATCTCCTCCTAGGGGAGACCCGCCTCGGTGCTGGAGGAAGTTCTCCCTCCTAAGGGAGACCACCTCGGTGCTGGAGGAAGTGCCTCAGAACGTGCTCCTTAACATCCTCTATTTCTCCCTCCCTTCTTACTCCCTCCATCCACCCATCATTCTCCCCTCTCTTTTTGTGTACATGTGTGTGCATAAATCTGTGTATCACGCGCGTGGTGTTCACGCACAAGTGTGGGTGTGAGGGCCAAGGCTGATTGTCCCGCGCTACGGTCTCGCCAGCAAGAACGACGCGGGGCATTTAGGATACTTCTGCAGTAAAGCTTTAATGCCTCTTGAGAGGGAGAGCATCAGCTTCCAAAGCGGAGACCCAGAATGAGGGGAACCCAGCCCTTATAAAGGAAACAGTCCTCGCTTCTGACGTGTCACTCTTGAATTGGTCCATTGCCCATTATCCCAGATGATGCCTCGGGAGTAGGCAGGGACGCAGCGGTAGAGAGTTACAAAGCACGTGCGCTGGGATTAAAGGCGTGTGCTACATCATCTTGAACTCACAGAGATCTGCTTGTCTCTGCCTCCCAGGCATTGGGACCAAAGGCGTATACTACCATGCCTTGAGGTCATAGAGGTCAATCTCTACCTTTGTTCCTAGAAGCAATGGAGAATGTGGTCCGGCCCTCCACATATCCCCCTTTTTTTACTTCTTTGCAGAAAGGCAACTCCCTAGGAAGGTAAAGATAGAGGTCGCATTTCCCAAAATGAAAACATTACGATGGGCTTGCATGGAATCTGTCCCTAGGCTCATGACACCTGGAACCTATCCGGCCTGCCCTCTGCCAATTTTCTGGGAAAGGGAATATACGGCAGGAAACCCTTAAGCAGAGCGACTTATCTCTCAGAGAGGGCCATTCTCTGTGCGATGCTCTTCAGTTCGACAACCTTTAGGGCTAGCTAAGCCCAGCATTCCATCCTGTGCAATGGACCATAGTCCTAGGGGTGCAGGAGCTGGTTGGCTTAAACCTTACTGCTTTAACATAGATAGCCACATATCAGTAGAGGCCCCTGTTCCAGGGCAGCCAGCGCTTGTGCAATAACCATTTTGTCCCTACGATTTTGGGATTTGAGTCAGCAGACCATCCAGAGGAGAAACATTAATCCATAGCATAGGACTGTTCCAAAACATTTCCACCCCCACCCATTCTTTGAAGTAGGGGAATGAGAGACATGGCCCAGGACTGGAGTCCTACGGCCAAGCTTATAAATCATCTCTAGGACGGTAGGGAGGGGGCCCAGAGTCTTATTGGTTGTAAAAAATCGGGGAGACACCGCCATCCTATGGTTGACTGGTAACAGCTTCAGGAAGGCTGAGAGTGTCCTCCATCGGTGCTCTGTCATCCATCCGCAAAATGGCAGGAGGAACAGCAGCCAGGTCCTCAGGCGAATCCGTGTGTTGTGGATCACTCTTCACTGTTCGGGTCAATCGCTCTGGCAGCCAGAATGGGCTTTCTTGATCCTGTGGGAAGACATAAACAGCTCCCCTGGATCTCAATAAGATGGGATCCGGGCCTTTCCATTCATTAGAAAGCACATCTTTCCACTTAACCAAATCTTTGGGCCGCTGCGGATCCGAACAATGTCGTGTTGCAGCATTTTGGCCATTATCATCCAGATTTAAAAAATTTATGGTGAACAGAGCCATGGCGATGGCCACCCTTGGCGTCGTGGGCAGCTCTGTCAATATTCCCCCTTTCTGTTTAAGTAGATAAGATTTGAGGGTGCGATGCGCTCGTTCTATGATACCTTGCCCCTGGGGGTTATAAGGCAGGCCTGTAATGTGGGTGACCTGCATCTGCGCACAGAATTGCTTAAACTTTTGAGAAGTATAGGCAGGCCCATTATCCGTTTTTAAAGATGTGGGCTTGCCCCAAGCATTCCATGCCTCAAGGCAATGTTGAATGACATAAGAGGTTTTTTCTCCTGTAAGCGGTGTGGCATGAATAATGCCAGAGCATGTGTCAATCGACACATGCATATATTGAAGTTTTCCAAAGGCAGTGATATGAGTTACGTCCATCTGCCATATTTGCAAGGGCGTAATCCCTCTGGGGTTTATGCCAGTGTGTCTGATAGGAAGAAACTGGCAACAGCTGTGACATTGGGTTACAATATCGCAAGCCTCTTTTCTGGTAAGAGAAAAACGTTTGCGCAGGGTTTCAGCTGTAACATGAAAATTGTCATGAAAGGTTTTAGCGGTCTGCAACGGGGAGGCAAGAGCTACTGCAGCAAGCCGCGTAGCACGATCAGCCAGGTCATTGCCTAGACTCATTGGGCCTGGAAGCCCCGAATGTGCTCTTATGTGTGTGATAAAAAATGGAGCTCTCCTACTTAGTAAGCAATCCTGTATCCTCTGGAAAAGAGCTGCCATTGTATTAGTAGGTTTTATAATTCCAGCGGCTTCTAATAATTTAACAGCGTTAACCATATAGGCAGAATCAGAAACAATATTAAGGGGACAAGGAAATCTTTGAAGAACCTCTAAAACCATCATATATTCCATCACCTGGGGCGAGGTGGCAGAAAAGTTCTTTATATATGTTTTAGAACTGACAACATAGGCTCCCATACCATTCTTGGAGCCATCTGTATAAACCGTCATCCCGTCTTTTAACGGAGCAAAAGATGTAATTCGGGGAAACATAATGGGATGACATGCAGCGAACTGCAGTAGAGGGTGTTTAGGATAATGATTATCAATTTTCCCTGAAAAGGTGGTAACCAAAATGGCCCAATCGTCAGAGGCAGCGGCCAAAGTTTGTACCTGAGAGGAGGTATAGGGAATTATCATAACCTCTGGGTGCTTGCCAAAATGACTAATAGACATTTTAAGGCCTTTAAGGGCAATTTGAGCTATAGCGGCGGGGTACCAATCAATACTTTTGTTAGGAGAAGCATGCGGATGGATCCATAGTAACGGTCCGTCCTGCCATAGCATAGCAGTGGGTAGCTTTCTTGTTTTAAACACGCATAGAGCAAATGGTTGAGTCTCATCAATATGGCACAGCTGTGCCTCCTTAATGGATTCCTCCATTAGCAATAAGGCTGCCTCTGCTGCCGGCGTCAAAGCCCGAGGGGAGGTAATATGAGTATCCCCTTCCAAGATATCAAACAATGGCTTCAAATCAGCAGAGGGGATTTTTAAAAACGGTCGCAGCCAATTAATATCTCTTAACAACTTTTGGAAATCATTTAACGTTCGCAAATCATCCCTATAAATTTTTATTTTTTGAGGCAGAATCTTTTCAGGAAGAATAACAGAACCTAAAAATTGGCCAGTATCTGCAATCTGGACCTTCTCAGCGGCTATTTGAAGACCCCATAGCTGTAAACTTTTAACGAGCAGTGGGTAGGCTTCCTTTAGGACCTGTAAGTCCTCATGACATATAAGTACATCATCCATATAATGAACCATAAGCAAATATGGAAACCGTTCACGAAGCGGTTTAAGAGCCTCCTGCATAAACATCTGACAAATGGTCGGACTGAGACATATACCCTGAGGGAGGTTTTTCCATTGAAAACGTTTATCAGGCTCTATATGATTAATTGAAGGAACAGTAAAAGCAAAGCGAGGCCTATCAGCAGGATGCAATGGAATAGAAAAGAAACAATCCTTAATATCTATTATTATCAGATTCCAATTTTTGGGCAAAGCTGAAAGCACCGGGAGTCCTCGCTGCATAGGTCCAAAGAGGTGCATTTGTTCATTAACGGCTCTCAAATCATGCAGCAAGCGCCATCTTCCGGATTTCTTTCTAATGACAAAAATGGGTGTATTCCACGGAGAGGTGGATGGTTCTATGTGTCCCAGAGCCAACTGCTCATTAATTAGCTGATTCATTGCTTCCAGTTTTTCAGAAGTAAGTGGCCATTGGGGAACCCATACGGGGGTCTCTGTTTTCCATGGTATGGGCCGTGTTGCCCCAGTGGCGCCTAGGAAAAACCCAGGCCCTGTTTATCGACATTAGGTTTAGGATTTATTGGCTCCCGTATTCCCTGCTGGGAGCAACCCAAGCCCCTTCCTGGCCTATGACCCATTCTGATCATAACATCTTGGGCCTGAGATGAATATGTATTAGATAAGGTCAATCCCATGCCCTGCATCATGTCTCTTCCCCATAAGTTGATTGGCAGGGGGAGGACATATGGTGTAAAATATCCTGACTGCCCTTCGTCTGTTTTCCAAGTTAATCTGGTGGAGCTAATGGTGGGGTTTGCATTGTAGCCCAAGCCCTGTAGGGCATGAGACGACTCGGTAATGGGCCAGGACCGCGGCCATCAGCGCGATGAGATAATACTTTTGTCCGCACCGGTGTCCAAAATGCCTTCGAAGCATTTACCATTGACCCAAAGGGGCAGTTTGGGTCGATCGTGAAGGCTAACAACCAAGTAGGCTGAATCCTGTCCTTGTTGACCCCATTAATCTATTCTCCGGCCTCTGGCGGATGTCTGCCGGGAGAAGCAGTAGTTGAGCTATCCTGTCTCCTTTATTGATGGAAAAAACTCCACTAGGGCAGGAGCATAGGGCTTGTATTTCAGCAGTGTGCTGACTATCAACGAGACCTGGGTGGACGATTAATCCCTGTAGGGTAAGCGAGCCATGTCCTAAAAGCAGGCCCATGCTTCCAGGGGGTAGGGGCTCAGGCAGCTGCACAGGGACGGGCTGTACCCCCATTTGAGGCATCAATAAGAAGTCGGTGGAGGCACATAAGTCCATCCTTGTTCTGCCTCCGAGGGTCCCTCGGTCGTTGCCCTGACGAACTTGTTCCCATATTTTTGGGGGCCCTGGGACCGAGGGCCCGCCATCCCGTTTTTTGGATCATCAATCTGTGGGTTTCCTAATGGTGGGAGGATCTTACCATGGGCGTCCCTAACGGAGCGGCAGAGCTCTGCCCTATGATAACCTTTATCACAGCGTGAGCAAAGCATAGGGGGCGCTCTCTCCTTTTCTGATGATCTACAGTCCCTTTTTAAGTGTCCTGGCTTCCTGCATTTAAAGCAAACTCTTGTGTCTGGTCCTTTAAAAGGGCGTTGTTGTGACCGCAAGATGGCTGCAGCCAAACCTGCATTCGTCAGGGGTCCTCCTAGTTCTCTATAGACCCTGAGCCAGTCCTGTAGCCCTTTATTTTTCCTAGGGGCTATGGCGGCACGGCATTCCTGCGTGGCTTGCTCAAAGACAAGCTGTTCAATTAGGGGCGTGGCCATATCAGTATCGCCAAAAATGCGTCCTGCTGCCTCAGTCATTCTTGCCACGAAATCTGAAAAAGGCTCCTGCGTCCCTTGTATAATCTTGGTGAGCGGAGTGCTCCCTTCTCCCTTTTTTGTCAAGGCTTTCCATGCTCTTATAGCTGTATCGGCTATCTGGCGGTAGGCGCCGTAAGGGTAGTTTGTCTGGGCCATGGCGTAGTGCCCTCGCCCAGTCAGGAGGTCAAATGTCCATTGCTGTTGTTCTGGAGTTAAGGCCTGAGCGTTAGCTCTGGCCTGTTCCTGGGCTGCCTCGTGCCATAGCGCTTTCCATTCTAAATATTGACCCATGCTGATGAGCGACGCTTTTGCAACTGCTTCCCAATCTGCTGGAGTCATGGCAGACGAGGCCAATCTGTCCAACTGGGCTAAGGTAAAATTAGCCGTTACTCCATACTTTCTGACTGACTCTGCTAACTCCTTGATTTGGTTGTACTCCACAGGCGCATGTATTCGCCCATTTTCCCCTTCATAAACAGGGAAGGCCAGGTGTAACTTTCTTTTGACCTTGTCAGGCATAAATGAAAAGGTCTTTGGCCCAAGGCGTTCCTCATAAGGAGGCGCCGAAGGGGAAGTTGGGGGAGGGCGCGGCTCGTAAGGAGGCGGATGGGCCATTTGGGATGACCTCATGGCCCTGCCGCTGGCTAATTTTACTTCCTCCTCTGTATCCAGTTCTCCTTCCTCTTCTCCTGAGCCAGAACTTTCGTGCTCATTTTCATGGTCATTTTCAATTTGCAGAGCTTCAAGCCCCTGCAGAGGATATAAACTACTGGTTTTTTCTTTTTTCTTATTATTGATATCAGAAAGCTTTTGACCTTGTAGGTCAATCTTCTCCCCCATTCTAATTTTCTCAGAACCATCGGGGGATCCAATTTCCTTATTTCTTTTTCTTGTAGGCGCGCCTAACCTCTCATTGCATTCAGTTTCTGATATGCTATCCTGGACTTCCTCCAATACATTTTGTCCGTCCGCAACAACAGCCTGGCAGGATTTATCTTCTAAGCAATTTTTGGCAAAATATAAGAGGACTGCTAAAAGAGGTAGCAAGGCCCCTACGACACCTTCCCAATGCGGAAACAAGTCAAGCCCAAAACCGAAAAATCCAAGAATAGTCATATCTCTCTGAGTAAACACCCTGCAGTTCTGAATCCTCCTTGTGTCCAAGGGGTCTCCGGCGGTGCGAGCAGTTGTCAGGGTCCCTCGGCGTCCCGGGTTTCGGCACCAGTTGTCCCGCGCTACGGTCTCGCCAGCAAGAACGACGCGGGGCATTTAGGATACTTCTGCAGTAAAGCTTTAATGCCTCTTGAGAGGGAGAGCATCAGCTTCCAAAGCGGAGACCCAGAATGAGGGGAACCCAGCCCTTATAAAGGAAACAGTCCTCGCTTCTGACGTGTCACTCTTGAATCGGTCCGTTGCCCATTATCCCAGATGATGCCTCGGGAGTAGGCAGGGACGCAGCGGTAGAGAGTTACAAAGCACGTGCGCTGGGATTAAAGGCGTGTGCTACATCATCTTGAACTCACAGAGATCTGCTTGTCTCTGCCTCCCAGGCATTGGGACCAAAGGCATATACTACCATGCCTTGAGGTCATAGAGGTCAATCTCTACCTTTGTTCCTAGAAGCAATGGAGAATGTGGTCCGGCCCTCCACAGCTGATGTCTTCCTGAACTACTCTCTGCCTCATTAAAATATTTTTTAAAATTTATTATTTTATCTTATGTGTATGAGTGCATGAGTTGCCTGGATGTAAATGTGTATAGGCCAGAAGAGGATGTCAAATCCCTTGGAACTGGAGTTATTCATGACTGTGAGACACCACATGGGTGCTGGGAATTAATCCTGGGTCCTTTGCAAGAGTAGTAAGTGCTTTAAACCGCTGAAACACCTCTCCAGTGTCTCTCAGTTTTTGAGAGAGGGTGTCTCACCGAATCTACAGATGACCAATTCGGGTAGAATGAGTGGCAGACACGTGCTAGGGATCCTCCTGGCTCTCTGTCTTCCCAACCCTGGAATTACGGGCACGCAATGTCACGCCCAGGTTTTACGTACATGTTGTGAATCTAAATTTAGTTCCTCATGCTTGTGCGACAAAACCTCTCACAGAGCTGCCTCCATCGCTCTCCTCCTCTGTTCCTCTCTGGCTGGGTCTCTCTGGCCTCTTGGCTGTCTGACTGCTGGGTTTTCATGTGTTCTCTGCAGACAGGAAGACTCAGGCCACCTGCAGTCTTTGGTTCCTCTTCTGTGAGCCACAATCTGTTGATTTTCTGCAGCTTTCTCAGTTTCTAGAAAGCTGTGCCTGTGTCTCCCTCCGTTTGCTCACCCCCAGCCGGTGAAGAATCAGGGCCAGTTCCATCTCTCCGGGACCCCAAGGAACAGCGATTGCTCGCTGGACATCAGAGATGTGCAGAGGATCGACAGCGGTTCTTACTTTTTCAGGATTGAAAAAGACTCCTTCAAGTGGAATGACTACAAGAATCAGCTCTCTGTGCAGGTGACAGGTAAAGTACTGGCTCCACGCTGGCCAGAGAGGAAGCTCGTGGGTGTCACAGAGCAGCTCTAGGATCCCAGCCTGAGAGTCACTGGGGATGGAGGAGAGTAACAGAGGAGTTGGGGTGGGAGCCTGTGTCTCTCAATGGCTATCCTCCCCATCTGATCCTGCATGTCTTTCTCTCCTCACCAGCCTGTGTCTCTCAATGGCTATCCTCCCCATCTGATCCTGCATGTCTTTCTCTCCTCACCAGCCTGTGTCTCTCAATGGCTATCCACCCCCAACTGATCCTGCATGTCTTTCTCTCCTCACCAGCCCTCACTCACACCCCCAACATCGACATTCCACAAATGCTGGAGCTTGGCCTTCCTAGCAACGTGACATGCTCTGTGCCCTGGGCCTGTGAGCGGGGGACACCTCCTATCTTCTCCTGGATGACAACTGTCCTCGCATCTCTGGGCCCCAGGACCACCCTCTCCTCAGTGCTGACCCTCACACCCAGGTTCCAGGACCATGGCACCAACCTCATCTGCCAAGTGGCCTTCCCTGGAGTCAGTGTGACTGTTCAAAAGACTGTCCAGATCAATGTCTCCTGTGAGTTCAACCCAGGGCTGGGATTCATGGTGATGGTGTCATAGGCTGGGGACTGAGACAGACACAGGTCCTATACAGCTCAGATTCTGTGCTTTCTGGACAGTTGTGGGGAATAGGGCTGAAACCTGAGACTTGTTTGTTTGTTTGTTTTTCCAAGATACTACACAGAATGCCACAACCCATGCCCCTGGAGGAGCTAGTCCAGGTAGGGGGAGTCATCTTGGGTTGCAGGAACAGAATCTCTTTAGCTCAGAGCAGGGTCCATCCTTCCTTATCCTGGCTGCTCTTGTAGACTACCAAGTTTCAGTTCTCAGCACCCACATGGCAGCCTTTAACTATGTGTAACACTAGTTCCAGAATGGCCGAAAGCCTCTTTTGGCTTCAGAGGGTATCAGGCACTCATGTGTGCACATACATACATGCAGGAAAATAAAAATATAAAAATTTTGAAAAGTTCTTTTTGTGTGCCCATTACTACCATATACAAACATACTCTTCAGTTCTGTAAGTCCTTGATATTTTCAATTGGAATTGTTGGTTTTGACTTTTGATGCAGAATCTTGCTATGTAACCTAAGCTGGCTTTGAACCTATGGTCCTATTTCTTTGTCCTTCTGAGTAGTGTGATTATAGACATCCACCATGCCTCTGTGATGGAAGCTTTAATTATGAAAGAAGAGAGTGATTTTTTTCTGCTATATTGTTGGCAACAGGATGCGTCTCAGATCTGGGATGCAGGAAGATTTGGAGGATCAGATCTAAGTTCTATGGAGAGAGTGGAGTCTGGGATTAGCAGGTAAATTCAGGTCCATCTACATTTCTTCAGGGATATCAGGGCCCCTGGCAGAGGTGGTTCTCGTGGCCATCGGGGAGGTGACTATCAAATTCCTGTCAACTACCAAATTCCTGCGTCTTGGGATCTGCTTCTTCTTCCTCAGGTGAGTGCTGCTCCTGAGGCAAAGTGGAGGTGTGATGAGGGCAGAGACACAGGACTGAATCTTAGATTACTAGTGCTGGGAGACAAGATGCAGGTTTTAAGGGATGGAATCCAGGCAGGGACCTCCTGGGTACTGACCTCACCAAGCTGGAGCTGTCAAATGTGGCAGATGAGGGAGTGTATTAGTCAGAGTTCTCAAGAGAAATAGAATTGATGAATTGTAAGTACACTTACACACACATACACACACACACACACAAAGATGTATATATATATACAGAGAGAGAGAGAGAGAGAGAGAGAGAGAGAGAGAGAGAGAGACTGGATTTATTAATTTATTAGAGTGGATTGCAGATTATGGTCTCTGGTCTGACTCTTTCAACAATGCCTGTCTTCTGACAGAAAGTCCAGGAGTTCAACATTTGTTCGGTCCATGAGGCTGGATGGCTGGATGTCTCAGATGATCTTCAGTATACACTGACATCCCAAAGAAGTAGGCTCTGATACCCATGAAGGAAAGGACTTGCCAAGCAGAGTGAGAGCAAGCAGGCAAAGGGCAAGAGCTTTTTTCTTCCATGTCCGTTTTAGAGAGTGCCACCAGAAGGTGTGGCCCAGATTGGAGGTAGATCTCCCCATCTTGATAGATCTGGATTTAGAGTGGGTCTTTCCACCTTAAATGAGTCAATCAAGAAAAATCCTCAACAGTAGTGGCCAGCCACTTGGCTTAATTCCAACAGCCTTCACAGGAAGAAGGCTGTCTCCCATGGCTGGGTCCTGCCATCTGGGTGTTTAGCTCCCTCCCAGCCACCCTTACAGCCCATGACTGGGGCTCAGGGGAGGTGACTGCTGTACCTGGTCTCCTTCATGCCCACATTGAAAGCTCTGGTCTCATCACTCAGCGTAAAATCCCAGAGGAAGAAAGTAGAGAGGCCAGCAACACAGGTGGACCACGCGAAAACTGCCATGGGTTAGTCTCTCAGGTGAGTGATGTGGAAGCCGCCCAGCACTGGTGTCCCTCGGAACTCTTTCCTGTGATGGACCAGGTATGGCCTGGCTTAGCATGGCCACTGGTGACCCGCTACCCTCCTCCCATGGTGCTCCTGGATCAGCAGCTCCATCTCTTTCCAGAACTAGCTGGGAATCTCTGCTGTCGCCTCTCTGAACCCCTCACCCCATATCCCATACTGACCCCGTTATCCACCCAACCTTGATCATCCCTGAACTTTATCTTCCCCTGGCCACTGACTCTTTCTCACCTCCTGCCTCTGTAGCAGGGCCCCAGAACCTAGTATACCTGACTCCATGATGGGACTACCATTCAGGTCATAAAACTCAGCACATCGTCAGCACCACCTACCAAAATTAAAACAAAGATCTAATCTATCAAAGTCCATAGATCTAGGAAAGTTTCTAAAGGTGCTAACGTTGCCTTTTAGCCTCTGCAATTCTGCTTCTGGCTAACTGTTCTTGTTAACCAAGGTATGTCAACCAAGAACAGTGTTTTGGGGCTTAAAGGCTCACACTGAGAATGTCTTGATGCTGCACTGGGATTCTGAACACCAAGTGTAGTCTCTGGTCAACTAATATAGATTTTTTTTTCTTAGTTTAAACCAAGTAGTCTGCTCTAGAAGGTATCCCCACAACATTTCTGGAAGTTCTACCAAGATTCCCAGAGACCAGACTTTGAGATACTGGGGGTCTCAGGGCCACCCCTCGAAATGAGAAAGAGTGTGGTGGCCAAAGAGCTCCTAGAGGGTACACAAACTGAGTTCTAGGTCCGCAAGACTCTCTTGCATTAGTTACTGCCTAACACTTCAGAGAAACTGGACACATCCACTCCAAAATGAAACCAATGAGAGTGAGAATCCCCTGGCTTGAGACCTGTGGTCCTCTTGTTGGAGATCCAAATCCATTTGTCTCTGTCAGGTTGCCCAGAGAAATATCCCACCTCACTCCTGAAAAAACAATCTCACCTGTCTGCCCCATTCCAGGACTGAGAGTACTTGCTTGTTTTGTTGCTTGACTCCTGCTCAGTGTTGGTCCCTGTGGGGAGATGTGTCTCATCCAAAACACCTGCCATTTAATGCACAAGGAAAGAGAATATACTTTCCAGGTGAGCATTCCCTCTGCTCTGTGCCTGCTCTAAGCAGCCCTAAAGAAGGGGGAAGTTCCCCCTGGATGAGCCCCAAGGAAAAGAGAAAGCTCTGTTCCTTTCTCTTTCATGATTTATGTCTTCTTTTCAATTAGTGATCTGTATAGTTGGAAAACACCCTTCTCTGAGAAAAGTAAAAAACCCAACCCTGGGCCAGGCTGGGGGATCAATGCCAGACAGTGCATCTGGGCAAAACAGATTTTTCCCTTATGACCAACACTGTCCAAGGAAACTTTAAACAATTTCCACTAGGTTCTTTTTAAAAGAATTAAAGACAAGTGCTAAAAAGATTTCTCTCATCACCTAGTTGGCTCCAGATATTAGAAAAAACTTATAAAAGTTTTAAAATGCTAAAAATATAAATAGGTCCCAGTTGCAGCAGGTAGCTCAAAAGGTGTTTGACAACAAACAACTGATTGGGGTGAGACTTTAGTGTAAACCAAAAACCACTGTCACCTTCTCTGTAATGAGACTCAGTTAGACTAACAGACACCCGGCAAAATTGTGGTGTCTTACCCTCCTAGCTGCAAGTTCTGCCTCCAGTCAAAAGATACAGTGGATTATTTCTCAGATTGAAGACAAAGATTCCTGAGGTTATGGGTGGAAATCAACTCCCAGGACTGACCCAACACCAGGTTCCTAAAATTGTTCAGCTAACCAGTTCAACTACTCCAGATTATAAACAATACCCAATGACCCTGGAAACGAAAAGGGAAATTGCAGTCCATGTTGCCTGGCTTGGAGAGACGGGCATCCTGGTGTCCTTTCTAGTTACCCTGGAATACACCTCTCCTACCTGTGATGAAACCTGAGACCTCTGGTTCTCATGAGTCTGATTCTTCTAGAAAATCAAGTGTACACTGTCTTAGACCTTAGCCTCCCACTGGCAGAGGTGAGTCAACCATGTTTGCTTTTACGCAGACAGACCTAGAGGAGTGTTACAGCAGGCAGTATACTTGGACCAGGTTGTCCCAAGGATTTAAAGACACGAAATGTATTCCTCCTTCCCTTCTATCAGGGATTTCCTAGGAAAATATATCGTAAGGGGGCCACTGAGGGGCTGCCGCAAGAGTTACATTGTGCTAGTGAACACCAACTAAGAAAGCCCAGCTCCACGCATAAGAGGCTGCCGATCTTGAGTCCCAGTTGAGGGCAGGCAAAGGGAGCCTGTCTCATAGTAAGATGCTGCCATCCTTCAGATCCCAGCTCCGAAGACTGAGACAGGCTTGAGAGTCACTAAGCGCATCTGGGTATTTCTGCTTCTGGATGCCAGAGTCTATGGAAATAGCAAGGGCTCTCTCTACACACCAGCACAAAGAGGGGCACTCATTGAGCCCCAAACCTGAACTGAGACCTAAAAAAATACATTTGAGACTTATGAAACATTCCTGATGTCTGCTATAGCCCTAGCTCTTCCAGATGTCTCAAAAGATTTTCCATCTGTTTGCCCACAAACAAAAGACATTACAAAAGAGGTCTTAACCCACACTATGGGACCACGAAAATCTTGCTGTCCAATGAATGGCATGAAGAGTAGAGGGGTCTTCTTGATACTCTGATGACATACCCCAACCCAGTGTTGCTTGAGACTCCTTGATTAAGAAGAAACAGACGGTTCAAACCAAAAGGTTGATGGAGGACAACAGAGGGAAATAGCATTCTTCCAGAAACAATTGGTGGGACCCTGGGACTGACCTTTATTAGGCTACTTGCCTGAGATTCACAGAGCAGAGTTGCTCAGACCAGCTAGGTTGTTATAGCTAGCTCAGGATGCCTCAGCCAGATTACAATCTTGTGCCTAAGTAGATCCACCAACACTGGGATGCTCTGAGAATACTGACTTCACAGTGATCTGGCATGCCAGGGGCATATAAGAATACTTGCTGGTTTTTATAGAAACAAGCCATCTTCTCTGGGTGGGTAAATGCATTCCCCACCTGGGCTGAAACTGCTCAGATAGTAAGTAGAAGCTTAAAAGCCCCTCCAAAGACTGGTTGCCTGATTTGGCCTACTCCTAGCCAATGGGACCTGACAGTAGCCAGGCTTTCAAAGCCAAAACTTCTCTGTTAATAGCTAAAGCTTTCAAAATACACTGAAAACTTCATTGTGCCTATAGAACTCAAAGTCCTGGGAAGGTAGAAAAAAAATAGGATGTTACAAAAAAAATAAAACTATAATGAAACTGTCTTGAGAGTCCAGAGAAGGGTGGATAGACCTCTTTCTTTGGCTTTAGACCTGCTGTACCCCATTAGGAAGGAATTTACCCATGAGACGATATTTGGAAGACCTCCTCCACTGCTTCCCAGGCCCAGAGACCAGCAGTTGGCAGAACCCTCCAACCATTTTTTTTCTAAAGTCACAACAGAACCTCCAGTCCTCCAAAAATTGTATTTGCTGGGCTATCTGAGAGACCCAACTGACCTCAAAGTACCAGTTTCTCCTTGCTGGAGTCTGTTGATACTCTTTAGTTCTAGCAGGTAGCCAAAGGGGCACTGGAACCACTTAGAAATGACCCTACAAAGAGATTCTCTCCATTCCTGTGGCTGTGAAGGTAGCTGGCATTACACAACAGATTCACCACACCCAGGTCAAGTAAGTAGAAGTCATGGACGATGATGCCAACTGGACTGTCTCTGGACTATGGACACATTAAAACTAAGGTTTCGTTGGGCCCCAGGCCTTTTCACTCCCTGCCCCTCTACCTCCTCCTGAGTCTTATGCTTTGTTCTGTGGGTATGAAGGGTATGAGTATAGAGTTATGGTCTGACCCCCCACGGGCCTCAGGTCTCGACCTAGGACTGAGAAAGACAGATACAGGATATGTCTTGGCTAGTTGACTATAGGCCAGCAAACTATATTCATCTGACCTTTGCTCGCTGATCCCCACTTTATTGAATTGAATTGGTTATATTGAAACAAAGCAAAGATATGGGGGATTATCTTTTAAGATAGAAATACTGAGTTTACAATTCTATGCATGCTCTAAGGCTGGGCCCCTTAGGTGCCAGGAACAAAGGTTTTTCCAATTCAAAAACTGTAGTTAGAAAAACCTGAAAAATCCTTTTAAAAGATTCCAGTCTTTGGAAAACTTGGGGGATCACTCTAAGCCGTAGGAAGGGACCCTGGGAATAGAGTTATTCATTCCCAGCCAGAAATCAGCCAGGATTGCTAGTTATGCTTAGATACCCAGCTCCCATACTACATAGGAACTAACCAGCCTGTCAGCCCATTGAATGACAACTCACTGTGACTGGGGACCACCCAAATTATGGGGACTTACAAGAGACTAAAACTTGTCTACTATTCCTGAATCTTTAACCTAGGCACTTTCCTTTATTCTGACACCTGCTATTTGGCCTTGTGGGTTAACACATCCTGACACCAGCAATATTACCAAGCCCCTGAGACTAATTGGTAGGCACATACCAATGGTTTGACTAAACGTGCCCTTTCTAATGCTTTCCAAACTAAGTGACAGGTTGATCAGGATCTAGAGGTTTTAAACAGCTCTGTTTCTGGACTAAAGCTACAGTCATATACAGTTAGATACTGAAACAGTCCTAAAACACTGGAAGGGCTTCGGCTTAGGAACACCTAAAATAAAGGCAACAATAAATAGCTTTGGAAGAAACCTGCTGTTTGTATGCTAATCAATCAGGAGTAATTAGAAAAAAAAATCTCGCTGTGGCTAGGGAGGAAAAAGACTCAAAAAGAGAAGAGACACAGACAAAAACCAATTAATTGACATGAGTCTGTTCTCCTGGTTTGCCCCCTGCCCCCCCCACAGCAGTTACTCCACTCTCATCACTGGCTGGGTCTCTACTTCTGATTGGATTAACACAGGGGTCCTGCATCTTAAACTAAAATAGTATGAGTTCACATTTTGACTGATTCATTAAGACCAGTGGAGAATGTGACAGGGCCTCAGACCTTAGGAGGCCCTCAGACCTTACCACAGCTGATTTCTTGAGGAGTACCACTCAGGCCGTAAAATTCAGCATCGTTAGTACCACTGACCAAAACAAAAATAAAGACCTAGTCTATCCAAGTCCACACCTTTTGGCTTCTGTAATTTTGCTTCTGGCTAACTGTTCTTGTTAGGTGGAGTGTGCCATCCCAGACCAGTATGTCTGTGCTTCAAAGCTCACACTGGAGAAAGTTCAGTGTTACACTGGGATTGCAAATACCCAGGGTAACTGCCGGCCAGCTAATAAAGATTTTATATTGGCTTAAACCCATGCCCAAGCAGTCTTCTCTGGTGGATACCCCACAATACCTTCGTGTCTCCCTAGTACTGGCTCCAGGATGTACTTGTGGATGCAGTTGTCACCCTCTCCCTCCATGGTCTGAGTACGTTGTGTTCTTGCCATGGATAGAGACTGAAAACCATGACAGCTTGCATTGGGCGCCTCATGGTGCCTTCACCCTGAGCTCCCCCATCCTTCATGATGATCCTGTCACCCTGCCTACCCCACTCTCCTGCACCAGAGATTGTGCCTGTGCTGGGCCCACTCCTCAATACCCTTCCACCTTCCTCAGGCTCGGCCTATGTGGTGTGGAAGGTTCTTCTGCCATGTGTTGCTTTTATTGGTTAATGAATAAAGAATCTGCTTTGAATCTATAGCAGGGCAGAACAGAACTAGGCAGTGAAAACTAAACTGAATGCTGGAGAAAAAAAGAGTTGTGAGATGCCATGTAGCTATCAGAGGGAAAAGACGCGAGCTGGCAGCTGGAACCTTGCCAGGAGTCTATGAGCCTAATAGTAAAATATTAAATAATAGAAATGGATTAATTTTAGATGTAACAGCTAGCTCGCAATTCACTCAAGCTATTGGCCAAACAGTATTGCAAATAATATAGTTTCTGAGTGATTATTTCAGGCATAAGCTGCCATGAACGAATGAGAAGCCTCTGCCTATGTCTGTGTGTCACTTTGGGTGATGAGGGCTTGTGATGCACACAGGGCTCTGTGTAGGAGTGACACCAGCCACTAAGTGTGCACTATCTTGGTGAATAATACTGAGCTCCTTCCAGGAATTAGCATTTTTGTAAGGGCTAGAGATGCACCACCATTTCTGTCAGGAAGAAATTGTCAAACTCATTATCATAACTGGAATGAAAAAATAAACACAACAAATTAGAACAAATCAGGGGATGATGGGTGAAGTTCAGAAAAATCATGCAGGAGAGGGCCTGGTGACTGGGGACAGTCTTCTAATCTGAAGGCATCAGGGGTGATGGCAGGACTAAAGATGTCTGGTGCATTTCCTGGAGGGAAGTGTCCCAGGGGGAAAGGCTCAGAGGCAGAAACAGCTTGCTTAGCTCAGCAGGTCGTGTGGGGACCTGCATTTGGTGCATCGTGTCACCCACAGAAAAAGATGGTTGTTCAGAACAGAGAATGGCAGGCTGCCAAATGAGAGGACTTCAGGGTGAGGCAAGAATGTAAAGCCCTTGATGAGAACAAAGCTATATGCATTTTCACCTTAACAGGCTTCTATGGCTGCCCTGATGAGAACCACACAAGGCAGATTGTCTTAGGGTTCCTATTGCTGTGAAGAGACATCATGATCGTGGCAATTCTTATAAAGAAAACAGTGAATTGGGGTGGCTTGCTTACTGTTCAGAGGTTTCATGATGGGGCACGTAGGGGCGTGATAGTAAACGTGGTCCTGGCTACATCTTGATCAGAAGGCAGCAAGAAGTTGACTGACATCGGGTGATATCCTGAGTATATGAAATCCCAAAGTCCACCCCCATAATGACACACTTCCTCCCACAAGGCCACACCCACTCCAACAAAGCCACACCTCCTAATATGAGATTGTGGGATTATGGGATTATGGGAGCCACACAAACTACCACACAGATCCTAGGGCTGCAAAGAGAAGGGTATAACCATAGGTTTTTCACCACTGTGACAAAACACCCGAAGGCTGAAAGGGTTGGTATGAATCAGGGTTTGAGTCCGCACTACTGTTTGGCTCTATTGCTATTGGCCAATAGTGACAGAGTACACTATGGGGCAAATGCATGTTAAAGGAGGTCTGCTCTCCTTATGGTTGCTGGGAGGCAAGGGAGAGCAAGGTTTGGGGAGGGACCACTCCATACTCAGACTTTACTTAATGAGAAGGAGCTTCTGCATCCTGGAGGAGGTGATGGTGGCCTGAACCAGGCAGGTCCTTTGTGTGTTTAATCCATGTGGAAGGTCAGGAGAAGGGATTTTAGATGCCGTGTGTGTATGATGGGGCATTCACTTGCTTAGCTGAGCAGTCTTGCATTTTGAACCAATTCCATTTATGTATTTTAGCTTATCCTGTTCTTGGGGTATGGGTAGGTCATATTCAAGTTTTACTAATCCTTGGTCCAAACCTGCCATTTGTTCTCTAGTGGTATTTGTAGGAGGTTTTTTTGTTTGTTTGTTTTAAAAAAAGTGATGGGTTCATTTTCAAAATGAAAATGCCTTGAGCCACTTTAAGTCTAGCTACAAGTGAACAAAAAGATTGGTCCCCTGCTATAGTGTGGTAGTCTACCCACATCGATCCAAACTAAAAGAGTAGAGCAGAGAGTTACTAACAGCCAAGCTTGCCTGTCACCTGCAGATGTGACAAGGTCATATGCCCAATAAGCTTTCAAATAAACAGGATGGTCGTGAACGACCTGGCTTCACCATGCTGTGTTTTACCTACAGACACAGTGGCTGTGCCTCAATCTACTGCTATTTCAGCCAGCAATTGTGGCTCAGTAGTTACTGCCCCTGCTGTTTGGGCTGCAATCTAGCAGGAATCTGTTCCCACAGGATCTGCCTCTGTTGCTGCCACTAAAGGTAGCTTGAACTAAATCTCTGTTTTCTATTTATTAATAAAACTCAAGACCAAAAGGCTGGGGTGATACCCTGCTAGCTCAAAGAGGTTGAGTGGCATCTAGTTAACCTTCTGTCATTGCTAGTATCTTCCAAAGGGCCTGTTCTTATGCTCAGAAAAACAAAAACAAAGATAAACGTGCGCCACTCAAAACCCCTTGCTACTATTTCTGGTGAGTCAGTCTCTCTCTCTCTCTCTCTCTCTCTCTCTCTCTCTCTCTCTCTCTCTCTGTCTGTCTCTTCCACATGCCATCTGATGTTCTGTGATTAATTTCTGTTAGCTAGTTGCTAACTCAGCCTCCTGACCCAAGGTTAATTTTATTTAATTAATGCAAAAGCAAACTCAGGGTTCATAGTGATCGAATGAATATCCCCCAACAATGTTGCTTCTCCCGTGCTTGCTATTATGAAGTGAGAGTCCAGGTTTCTCACAGCATTGATTAACCCAAGCCCCACATTTTATGCTTTTATCTATTCTGGGCTGTTCCTGTTTAGGGCCCAAGACCACTCACAGGGATTGTTCTGATGGGGCCATGGGAACTGGGGTGAGACTTAGTTGGAGAGAGGTCAGCCAGGTTGGAAGAAGGGATGTGGGTTGGGGGAATATGGGCATCCCTATGAGAAGTGTAGTCAGATAAACAACTAAATGATGTAATTTTGGGGAAAACAGGTGGAATTGGAGATTGGTATGCTGAACAGAGTAAGCTGAACCAGAAAGGCACAAATGCTATGCTTCTCTCATACATGGAATGTAGGTTTCTTTATGTGCACAGACACACACAACATGAAAGTTGATCAGAGACAGAAAAAAAAAGTGACAGTAAAGATGGGAGAATATAATGGGAATGCATATGAGCAGAAATGTGTGGTGTACTAGGCTGGAAGATTAGTAAACCTTCCCTTTGCAGACTGAGCACACACTGATAAATACAATTTAAAATGGAAAAGGCTACTGCAACAGTGAAGATCCTCTGTCTTCCTTCTTCCCTGGGCCGGCCAGGGCTGTTTAGTGGATGCGGCCCCATGAGTCTCTGATGGCCCCTGACACAGTCACGCACAGCAGGTGTCTAAAACACAGATGGTTCCCTCTTTCAGTGCAGCAGACCAGGAACTGAGATTGGAGTGCCCGTGGTAAAGTCAGTGTCACATGGGTAACTGTCCCTGTAGAGAGAGCTAGGAATTGGCTTTTACCTCTTATCTCTCCAGGTGGTGGAGGCCAATGACATGCTGGCCTCCTGTCCTGACACTCCTGTCTCTGCCTCTGTAGTCATATGAACCCCCTTGCACCTGCAACCCAAGGGACACTAGTGATTGGATGTGAATAAAATGTGATGCAGGATGGTCCCCACTGTGC